TAACAGAATATAGCCATCAAATAGGTCATCTGATTTTATTTTAGTTTTAGTTTTACTGCAAGACAGCCACCTCCCTCCAATTTTCTATGTATTGTTTCAAGCCTCTTTTGCTTTAACATCAACAGAGTTGAGTAATTATAAAGGAGACCGTTAGCCTGGAGACCTAAAATCTTTACTATCCGACTCTTTCAGAACACAGTCATCAAACTCCATTCTAATTACTGTTTAATCCACTTACTGATATATTGATGTAAACTAGCATGTTGTAAATCTTTCATTTGTATTGTAACTTCTCTGTTTCTTATGAAATTCTGAATCCTATTTGATTTCTCAGAGCATTTTAATCATAGTACTTAATCCAGGGTTGCTAAAAAATCAGAATCCAAAGTCAAAGGTGTTATTAAGCATCTTCAACAGAACAATAGCATATTGAGCATGGCTGGGGTCACATGAGGAAAGAAGAAAGGTGTGCATAAATTTTTATGTTCCCATAATATCAGCATCTGTATTTCCTGCAGTTATGTTTATAGTTTGTGCTTTTTAAAAAACTTTTTCGGTACTTGTTACATTTTATTTTCCAGTATTCCTCATGATTTATTTTTTGAGAAGCAGATATACATAGATGGGGAGAGAGGCAAAAGACTGAGAACTCTCATCTGTGGGTTCACTTCCTAGGTGCCCACAATGGCCAGGGCTGAAGCCAGGATCCAGGGACACATTCCAGCTCTCCCATATGGATGAGGGAGACCCAGTTACTATAGCTACCACCCACCACTGCTTTCCAAGGTCTGCATTAGTAGGCAGCTGGAGCTAGTTATTCAGTCCTCCAGTGCAGGATGCAGCATCTAAACTGTGAGGCTAACAATCTTTCCCTGCCTAATTAGCCTCAAAGTCTGTGCTGTGTGATAGACATGAGAGAGGGTGGTGGTAACTGTAGACTGGGTTGTTTTTAGAAGCCAGTCAGCTTCATTCAATAAGGAATTGAAATCATTGAAATGTGAGTGTCATGCCCTTTTAAAGCGGGTCTGTTTCCAGCTCTCTTCTATTCCTGGTCTAGAGCCTTATTGGGACTCCAGCCAAGTGCCTGAGGTGTTCGCTGACAGCTCTCATCTTGGCAAGCCTTGAGCTCTAGCTTCTATCCTCCAGCCCCTTGGGCTGGGTGCCACGTCGACTCAGTATTTCAGACTGCAAGCACACCTGCAAGCTGGAAAATAGCAAGAGAGAAAGGATGGTACCAATGGCGTACCAAATGCCATTCTCTAGTTTCTGGGTCTCTTTTGTGTCTGATATCCTGCCTCTGTGGGTCCTCACCAGCCTGGTAGTGCACAGATGTCTTTAGGCACATCTCAAAAACATCTTGTGTAACATTTTTGCTTATTCTTGTTGGAAGGATTTATCAGGGACAAAAAAAAAGCCATTATGTCATACTCAGAAGCCAAATTCTTTAGCAGTGTGTTCTAGTTCTGGAACCCAATGCTGTCTCCACTGTGTCACCATTAAAACTGCCCCTCCCTGCCTGCACGCACACACACACGCACACACACACGCACACACACACACACACACACACCACCTCCAGTGTCTGGAAGTTTTACATCATTTAATAAGTACATTCAAATATTATCTTTCAGTCAGTCCTTATTTAGATTCATGTGTAAGCCTTATTGATTTATTTCACTGATATTGCTCCTTGCATCTTTTTCTTCTCTATTTATATTGGTTTCTGTTCTGCACATCTTTCAGTAGTTCTTTGTTTTTTGTCCCCATTGTCTCCTACTGGCAAAACTGAGTAGATTTCTTACTGTGATCACTGACAGTTTGATTATAAATTGATCATTGATAACCAAGTATCGATGAATTACTTTGTTATAGAATCCTAGATCCAAAATTCTTTATTAAAAATGTTCGTGGGGCCTGGCATGATGGCTAAACTCTTGCCTTGCAAATGCCAGGATCCCATATGGGTGCTGTCCCGTTTTCTAGCTGCTCCACTTCCCATCCAGCTCTCTGCTTATGGCCTGAGAGAGCAGCGGAGGACAATACAGGGACCCTGCACCTGTGTGGAAGACCTGGAGGAAACTCCTGCCTTGTGGGGAATGAAGCTGTGGATGGAAGATCTTTCTCTCTGCCTCTCTTTCCCTCAGTAAATCTGCCTTTCCAATTAAAATAAATAAATCCTTTTAAAAAGTTATTTCTACTATAGGTCTTTTGTTTTTACAATGAAAGGTTTTATTTCTTTATTTGTAACTCAAAAATAGAGAAAGGGATAAGTAGTGATCTAGCATCTGATGATTCACTGGCCGGGTGGCTGCAGCATCAGGTGTTGGGCCAGGGTGCAGCCAGGAGATTCATCTGGGTCTCTCGTTCGAGGGACAGAGGTCCAAACAATGTGTCTGTCTTATACTACTTTTGTATTTGGGGGGCATTAGCGGGGTGCAGGATGGTAATTGGAGCAATTGGAACACAAATCACCGCTCATACATCATGCTGTTGTCACAGGTAATGGCTTTGCCTTGTGTATCACAATATCAGCCCCAAGAGCCAAAATTTTTGATTTTCGTCACTTTGAAGGTATGTTTTTTTGGGCCCAGTGCAAGTGGCTAAAGTCCTCACCTTGCATGCACTGGGATCACATATGGGCACTGTGCATGTCCCAGCTGCTCCATTTCCCATCCAGCTCCCTGCTTCTGGCCTGGGAAAACCAGTCAAGGTTAGACCAAAGGAGACCCGGAAGAAATTCTGGCTTCAGACTGGCTCAGTCTTTGCAACAATTTGGGGAGTGAACCAGTGGATGGAAGATCTTTCTTTCTGTCTCCTTTTCTCTGTAAAATCTGCCTTTCCAGGGCCCGGCGCGGTGGCGCAAGTGGTTAAGGTCCTCGCCTTGCACGCCCGGGATCCCATATGGGCGCCAGTTCTATCCTGGCAGCCCCGCTTCCCTTCCAGCTCCCTGCCTGTGGCCCGGGAAAGCAGTCAAGGATGGCCCAAAGCTTTGGGACCCTGCACCCGCGTGGGAGACCCAGAAGAGGCTCCTGGCTTCAGATCGGCATAGCATCGGCCGTTGCGCTCACTTGGGGAGTGAATCATTGGACGGAAGATCTTCCTCTCTGTCTCTCCTCTCTGTATATCTGCCTTTCCAATAAAAAAATAATAAAAATAAATCTTTAAAAAAAATCTGCCTTTCCAATAAAATATATGAATCTTTTAAAAAATTATATGTGAAGGCATGCTTTTCTTTCTTGCATCTAATGTCAATTTGATTTTTTACTCTTTTATAGGAATGATTTTAGAATTTTTGCTTATTTAAATATCTGCTCAGAATTTTTGATTTTTATTTATTTATTTGAAAGAGAAGGAGACAGATCTTCCATCCCATAGTTCACTGTCCAAATGCCCACCACAGGGAGGGACTGGGCCCATCCAAAGTCAGGAGTCAGGAACTTCATTTGGGTCTCCTACATGTGGAGAAGCACAAGCACTTGGACCAGCACCTGCTGTCGCCCAGGGCGTTGGTGGGAGCTAGATTAGAAGAAGAGGAACTGGATATGGGCGTTCCACACGTTCCCTTACTCCTCCACACCAGCAAGCCTGCCACTTTCAGAGCATTTGAAAACTGAGCATGTTTGTCTGGTTAAGGCGCAGGGAGTTCTCAAACATTCTGTAAAGAAAGATTGTTTGTTGCTTACCCTTTTCTTCTGTTTTATTTTAGAAATGGAGTAGACTTATTTAATATTTTTTTAAAACTTCCCTTAATGTTTATCATTTTGAAAACTATTTCTGACACTAAACCTAGCACAATTTCTCTCACATTGAAATATTTTTAAAATAATATTTTTTTTGTGATAGTTCTCTCATCACTTTTTAAAAATGTCTTGATTATGGCATTTTTCAGAGTTTTCTCTTAGAAGCCTTTCAGAAATGTTTTCGTTGACAAATCAAAACTGTATCTATTCATCATGTACAAAAAGTTGTGAAAGGTATATACATTGTGGAATGACTAAATTAGTCAACTGTTTCAGCTGTGCCAAGCCAAAATCAGGAGCCAGGAACTCCGTCCAGTCTCCCACAAGAGTGGCAGGAGTTCAAGCGCTTGGACCATCCTCTACTGCTCTCACAGGTGCATTAGCAGGGAATTGGATCAGAAGTGGAACAGCCGGGACTTGAACCAGGACTCATATAGGATGCCAACACCACAGGAACCAGCTCCCTCTTAGCCATTTCATATGTACGCTTTTGAGCTCCATAGGTATTGGCATTTTCTAAAATATGCAGCAGGACTAAAATTTTGTTTTCTCTCTCTCTCTCTTTTTTTTTCTCTGTGCTGCATCTTGGGAGTATCTTCTTAGTTCGTACATCATTGAATCAGTAGGGAAGCAAAAGAAGATACAAAACCATGAGAATAAGTTGACCTCTGTCCCTAGTCTTCACTGTAGGCAAGATGTTCATACATCAATACCATGTGTTTGTGCACCCTTGGGTTGAGTTTCTATGAGCAAATTTAGATAAAGTATCAGTTCTTGTCAGAGAAATTAAAACCAAATGTTTCAGGAAGGGAAAAAATGTTAATCCAATGAACAAACAAAAAAAAGCCCACCTACATTTTGCTGAACCATCAGCATGTGTAGAATTATCTGGAGAACTTACTGCTAAGAATTTGACTGAAAATCATGTGAGTCTCCATTGATGACAACGCTAAATGAAATACCCTCCTTCCTGTGTTAACACTTGTGATAGCCACGCACCCTGATTGTGATTGGTCCAGGGTTACACTGTAGTTGACTGTGATTGGTCCGGGGTTGCATCCTGGTTGATTTTGATGGTCCAGAGTTGCACTGTAGTTAATTGTCATTGGTCTGTAGCTGTACCATAGTTGATTGTGACTGGTTTGGGATTGTACTGAGTTGATTGTGATTGGTCTGGGGTTGCCCGCATAGGTGTTCCAAAGGTGTGGAAAGCCCCAACTCATTGTCTCCAATTGTATAACCCAGGCTCTCTCTGTTCAGACCAGGTACACTGTGGCCAAAGACAGCGTGGTCCAGTTCTTCTTTTACCAGCCCATCAGTCACCAGTGGCGACAAACTGACTTCTTTCCCTGCACTGTGACATGTGGAGGAGGTGAGGCGCACACCTTGTTGGTGGATGTGTAGTGCTCAGCATCAGACAGTAGACAGGTGCATTTCAAAGCTACCTTGGAAAACAATTTGGCCATCAGAGAGCTCTACTCACACATCCTTCACTGAGCACCCTGGAATGCAGTGGGCTTATTGTGTATGTCTTTGTCATTATTCTAGAAGATTAGGTGAAAAACTGGATTATGTTTCTTTTTATTTTTAGTTGAAAAGTTGGAGTCATGTTTCATGTGTTACTGCATTCTCTTGTCTTGCTTGTCCTCAAAGTATGCACTGTTTTCTTTGAAAACCCTGAGAAGCAGAAACACAGAGGGATCTGCCCAACCTGATCAAGTCCATGGACATGTTGGTTCCTTTTTTATTTTTAAAGATTTGTTTATTTATATGAAAAATGGCTACAGAACGTGAGAGAGAAAGACAGAGAGGAGAAGGATGATTCATCTGTAGGTTTACTCCCCAGCCAGCTACAACAACCAGAGTTGGACCAGGTTAAAGCCAGGAACCTGGCACTCCATTCAGATCTCCTATGTGGGTAGCAAGGGCCTCAGGGCTTGGCCTATCCTCTGAGGTTTCTCCAGACACATTAGCAGGGAACAGGATTGAAAGTGGAACAGCCAGGACCCAAACCGGTCCAGTATTGTCGGATGCAGCTTAACTCACTGTATCACAAGCCCTGAGGCGGGTGCTTCTATGAGCAGCACTGGCAGTCCTGGCCTTAGTAGGAGCTTGTGTCTCTGCAAATGGAAGAGAAACAATCTGGTGGTGGGTGGGCGGTGTGAATGTGAGCTTGGAAGGAAACTACAAAGTCATCCTTCCCAGTGTTCCAGTTAGCTCTTGCTAGGACCTGGTGTCCGATGATAGATGACATGATTCTGCCTCCAGCAGAATCAAGAATCAGTGGTTTTCAAAGTGTTCCCTGTGCCAGCAACAACAGCAGCATCTCTGGAGGCTGATTAAAGGGAATTGTTAGGGTACACGTTCTCAGGCTCCAGCTCAGACCTGCTGAATCAGAGATTCGGGTGTGTGGTTAGACTCAACACTCTGCTTCTGGAGACTCTCCATGCTGCTCAGCTTTGAGAACCCCTAGCACAAGAAAGCCACAGCTTCTTAGTTGGGGTTGAACATTGAGAAAGCTTTTCTGTGGCCGAAACACCCTTTAGAGCTTGAATCACTGACTCCCCAGCAGGCGGCAAGGGAAATCTCTAAAGGCAATTGTCACCTGTTAAAACTGAAGGAGGTAAAAGATGGCCAATCGGGGCTTCACAGACTTTGGGGCCAACCCTGTTCACAGCCTGGCAGTGAGCCTGGAGACAGGTGACGCTACCACTCTAGATGCCCAAATCCCATATCTAAGTAGTTTAGGTCAGGTCCCAGTTCCACTTCCAACTAGCTTCCTGTTAATGTGCCCTGGAGACAACAGGTGATGCCTCAAATACTTGGGTCTTTTGCCAGGCACATGGAAAACCGGAAGGAGTTTCTGGCTTCTGGATTCTCTTTGGCCTAGCCATTACTGTTGACGGCATTGAGTAGTAAATTAGCAGATGGAGAATCTCTCTCTTTCTCTCTGTCTGTTTCTCAACACTCTGCCTTCCAATAATTAAGTCCTAAAACAAACCATAGGCAGCATGATCTGTTGGATTAGCTAGTAAAATGTAAATTTGCATATCTAACAAGGCCACTCTGAGACCTGCTGAGCCTCCACTTCTCTCTTGTAGTGAGGACTGGTTTAGATCGAGCATGCTTTGCAGGTGATGTGAATCTGTGAGGGGTGGATAAAATGCAATGATGTATGTCCAGGGTCTTAGCATGGTGCCTGGCACTTGGTGCACATTGAGGACATAGTTACTGGGTCAGAAACTAAGCCTGCATTGTGTTGAAGTGCCTCTGTGTCATGTTTAGGCCCTTGACTGAGCCTTTGCCAGCATTCACAGTTACACTGGCGATGGGTGATATGCTATGCATTTGGTTCGGTGACCATAGGTGGATGCTCTCAGAGTCAGTGGCACACAACCACAGATACTAGGAATATTCTATAACCAGAAGCAGGATCCCACCCCAGTAGAGCCACATAGGCCATGAGAAAGACAAGAGTTATGGGACAGGTGTTTGGCACAATGAGGAAGACGCCCGTTAGGATGCCTATGTCCTTTACTGAAGGACCTGGTTATGATCTCAGTCTGCGCCAATACCAGCTCCCCAATAATGTGCATCGTGGGAGATAGTGATGATGATGATTCAAGTACTTGGGTCCCTTGCCACCAATGTGGGAGACTTGGACTGAACACCTTGCTCCTGGCCCCAGCCTGGCTCAGCTTGGGTTGTGGTGAGCATTTGGGGGCATGAAACCGGCAGATGGAAAATCTGTCTATCTGGCTTCAACTTACTAATTCTTACAAAGGCAGACATTTCCCATAGGCCTCCGAAATGAAAGCAAATGGATGGCAGGAACTTTTTGACTCTTCCCGTATGAGGAAATGAACATGTCCTGACCTTTTACTCCTTAGCCTCACACACATTGTTCAGAGACATTCCCATTTAGACACGCTCTGGAAGGGCTGTTTTACTGTGGGATTCGGCCCTACTGGTTAACTTTCTGGGAGCAGAGGGCTGCCTCTCATCCCCCATGGAATGATAGAAGACATCAGTATGTGTGGGAGCACCTGTTAGTGAGGCCCCCCGAGATCAGACCAGGGCAGGAAGAGTCAAGGGGTCACTGATAGCTTTGGAGGAGCTTGCCTTTTTTTGTACATCGACAGGATTTCAGTACATTCACTCACCATGTAGGAAGACATTCTGCCTTATTTCTTTTGCTTTTGGTTATCTCTAAACTGTGGTAAAAATTAGAGAAAAATCCCCCAAATCAGGAACACCTGTATGCTCCTTGTCTTTTGGAAGTATGTTTCCATTTACAACAAAGATTTGCCGTAACTCAAGATCTGTCTATATGTGTTGGGGCAAGAGATTAAGATGCACACATTAAAACCCACGGGGAAAGCGTTACCCAATTTTAATTATAGCAGTAATTAAATCTATAAGATTTGCATGAATGGCCTTTTGGATATGGGGGTAATCAAGATAGTTCATGTGTTGGTCTCCATGGCACTGTGAGCTCTTAGAGGGACTTGGCTGGCCTTTTCTGTGCCAACATATGGGAGGTACTGAAGTTGCTCTGGAGACAGTACCCAGACTGCTCTCACCATCTGTTTTTGCAGACTTTTTGGCAATTACTGGCACTGGAGTACCATTTTAATGACTCCATTTGGGTTTTCATCCTTGTGGTTCTGGCCTTGCTTTTTCATAACTCATGCCAGTCAGTCCTTCAACACTCAGCTTACATCTAAGCCATGCCTTGTAGAAAGTTGACTGGTGATTTACAAAGTCAGGTCTTCTTGGGAATTAGGACATTACATGTATTTTTAGGCCTTCAGACAAAATTAGCAGGGGCTGAGAGCTTAGTTTTGGGCATGATTTTTTTTTCCTGAAGAGTTCATTATAGTTTTGAAGAAATTACCTTTCTTTAAAAGAAATGGGTTACATTATGACATGACACGTAGTACCAGGAAGCCTGTAGTCAGAACTGTTAGCAAATAGAAGTGTCAGTTTGGGACCTGGTTTTTGTTTTGTCCTTTTTTTTTTTTTTTAGTGCACAAAACCCATTTCTGAGTAAAGTTCTGTTTCCTTAGAAACTGTACAAATTGGATTGAGTAGATTCAAGCTCCAGTCTTTATTCCTACCCCTCAGAAGACTCCTGGGGTGGACGGGTGGGTCATGGTGCCATTCTCAAACCAGGCCATACATCTTGTCATCTTAGAAGAGTCAAGAATCTTTGCCTGTAAGATTTGCTTTAATGTTTATTTAAAAAGCAGAGTATCAGAGATGGAGGTGGTGAGATAGAAAGCTCTTCCACCTGCCCATTCACTACCCAATAGACAGGGCTAAGCTAAGCCAGGCCAAAGCCAGGAGTCAGGAGCCAGGAGCCAGCAGCCAGGAGCCAAGAGCCAGAAGCCAGGAATTGCACTTTGGTCTCCCAGGTACTTGGGCTGTCACTCACTGCTTTCCCAGGCTCATTAGCATGCAGCTGGCTCATAAGGGGAACTTCCATCAGCACTTCTAGGGGATGCTGGCATCTCATGGAGCAACTCAACTTTCTGCATCACAATGTCTGACCTCCCCGCCCCCGACCAAGAATTGGTCTTTTTCTTTGTAAAGATTTACTTATTATTTTTATTGAAAAGGTAAGTTTTGCAGAGAGAAAGAGAGAAAGATCTTCCATCCACTGGTTCACTCCCTAAATGACCACAACAGCCAGAGTTGAGCTTATCTGAAGTGCGGAGCCAGGAGCCTCCTCTGGGTCTCCCACACAGGTGCAGGGTGCTGAGGTTTTGGGCCATCTTCAACTGTTTTCCTAGGCCACAAGCAGGGAGCTGGATGGGAAGTGGAACAGCCAGGACACAAGTGAGTGCACAAACGGGATGCTGGCAGTTGCAAGCGGAGGATTAACCAATTGAGCCATTGTGCTTGCTCTGAGGATTTTTTTTTTAAAGTATTGATTTCTTGGACTCCAGCTTCAGCGCTTCTGATTTAATTGGACCACAAGGACCCCAAGTATTGATCCAAATGAGGGTTCCCATGTGGTTCTGTTATATAGATTCAGAACCACTGTGTGAAGTTACTTCAGAAGAGAAAAAAGTATGTGCAGCGAGTGAGAAAGTTGCTAAGTAAACATAAAACAATGGCAAAATTCATACCGTTCTCTTCTCTCCCCCCAGGGTATCAGCTCAGTTCTGCAGAGTGCGTGGATATCCGCTTGAAGAGGGTGGTGCCTGACCACTACTGCCACTACTACCCTGAAAATGTTAAACCTAAACCCAAACTGAAGGAATGCAGCATGGACCCTTGCCCATCCAGGTTTGTGTCATCACCCAGTCCCCTGATCCTTTAAAAAAAAAAGCCAGATCTGCTACCCGCTAATCAACAACACGGCAAAGCAAGGAGAAATCAATGTATAGCAACTCATTCTCATTTCCTGGTTTGGACACAGGCTAGTGGCAGGTGCCTACATTCACACGTACAACCACAGCTGATAAGGATGAGGATTCAATAGCTATTTGAATGAGTTGGCCCAGTGCTCTCTCTCACTCTCCCTCTCTCACTGTGTCCTTTGAGTGCATAAGCTTTTCATAATGAACCTTCTTAAGCATCTCATCCTCCCACCATGCCATTTAGTTCATTGGGCAGTAACGAATATCTTTCACTCACATGTTAGCTTTAAAACTAGGTCATCTGCAACCATGTTTTGACTTCTGGAAGTGTTCACATTAAATTTCATATAAATAATGCAGTGTGCAAGGAAGTAGAACATTTTAATGCCAAAGCAGAAAAGCTATGCATAAAATATCCTGCTGCATAATTTAGTACCCGCTGTCTTGGATCGCCTGGGGAAGTTTCCTGGCCTTACTATCATATCTTAAAATAACACCACTGTATGAAGTCCCAGAATCCCCCAGTTATCTGCCAGCTGGCCAAAGCCAAAGCACACGGTGGAATAGGAAGCAATCTCCATGGGCTTCACTTCCTGTCACTGTGCTGCCCGTTCCCACTAATCCTGGTCAAACGTTATCATGAGCAGAGACCTTTCAAAGGACAGATTCTGTAAAGTGGTTTCATGAAGATCCAACTGACAATGACTGTGTTAATATCATGAAGGTGTTTGACCTGAATCATGATGCCAAAACGGAATGAAAGCATTTATCCAAATTAAGAGAATGCTTTCTCATTAGTTAATGTATCCAGACTTCAAATTTTCTGTATTTCTATACTCTACTGGGGATAGTTTGTGTCAGGGATGTTTCTAAAGATTACAGAGATGATGGTTGAATTTTTGGAAATGCTTCGTTATGTGTCACAGTTTTGAACCTGAGAAGACTCTGTCTCTTGGGATGCCAACACCATGTCAAGCAATTGATCAGTGTGTTCACTGACTTGGAAATGATCTTCTCACCATGGTTTCATTTGCAGTGATGGATTTAAAGAGATCATGCCCTACGACCACTTCCAGCCTCTCCCTCGGTGAGTTACTGGTTTCTTTGTCTCCTGGTCATTGAGGAAAAGCATACAGTCTACAGTCATATTCTGCAATGTAGGATGAATGAGTAGCAGATTCTTTACAAAGCCAACAACTTGTCCTCCGTGGTAAGAAAGCTCCATGTAAGAGCTGAACAGACGGTTCTCTTGTGGTCATGCTTCCCATCAAACGTTTCTTAAATAGTTGAGCATTATAAAGGAAGCTAAGCACTGAAATTGATCCAGAATCTGATTACCCCTTTACACCTAGACGATTAGCACAACTCTTTTTGACTTTCAGATTGTGTGAACCTTTGCTTGAAGACAGTTCAAAGATGTTTTCATTCTGTGTCTTCCTCGTTAATTCTCAACAGCCAACTCAGGGAGGGCAGCTAGTGCAGGTGTGTTATTGCCATTTGACAGAAGCCTCAGGTTCCAAAAAGTTAAGTACCTGGGAACTACAGCTTTTGTGTGACAAACGTTTTTAGAACTCCATGTGTCATATGTTCTTTCATCTTCAATTATAGCTGGCTCCTTAAGACCCATGCTTTTCCCAACAAGCTTCGCAAACTTGAGACAACAAGGCATAATAGCACAAATAAATAACGTGTTTTTCTCTGTTTGCTTTGGAGCTGGGAACATAACCCTTGGACTGCGTGTTCCGTGTCCTGTGGTGGAGGGATCCAGAGGCGGAGCTTCGTGTGTGTGGAAGAATCCATGCATGGAGAGATACTGCAAGTGGAAGAGTGGAAATGCATGTATGCACCCAAGCCCAAGGTCATGCAAACCTGCAATCTATTCGATTGCCCCAAGTGGATTGCCATGGACTGGTCTCAGGTAAGAGTTGATGATAATGTCACATGTAATGAGGTCTTGGATTGTAAGAGAGTTTTAAGAATAATGAAGGACTGTGACACGTCTGGAAGGAACATATGCGGGGCAGAGTCAGTCAGGAAGCTTTCATTGCCTTGTGCTCAACTCCTCTTTGAGTATTCAGCTTGAAATGACTACAAAGTGGAAAAAGCCCCAATTCATCTAGCTTGAAGAGAGAAGCCATTATCTTGAGACTGGAAGATGAAGATGAAAATGGTGATGTTAAATTGGAAGCATATCCTTCATCTAGGAGTCATCAAGAAACTTCCCAGAGTTGTGAAAGAAGATAATCAATTCTCAGGAAATGAAGAAAACTAACGTGAGGTTGGGAAAGAGCAGAGGCAGGCAATCCTGGAAATCATTGAGGGAGCAAGTTGTGGGAAATAAGAAAAATAGACATTCCAGAAGCAGAACAAGGCTTTATGTCAAAACAGCGTACATTCTGCTTTTTTAAAAAGACGACAGAGGAAGTTATGAAAACACAGGCCTTGGCATCTCATATTTTCAGCTTAACCTTCCAATTTGCTAGACAATAAGGCATAGCCAACTCAAGTCTTTCTAGCTCCTTGAAGTGAACTCTGAAGAATTACCTCAAAACAGACAAGCACTGAAGTGAGAAACAGCCTCAGCTGTTCACTCGAGGGGTGGACTCTGAGTCAGCAAGTGCAGGGAAACTGAGCTTTATTATGAGCTTTATTAGAGGTCTTTTTGTAGGATCAGAGATGTGGAGCATCAGCTCCCCTGGGGTGCGTGAGAGCAACTTACTTATTTTCTTGCCTGCAGATCCCTCCCCCAGGTCCGCACTGGCTAAGCATAATGGCATTACAGACTTCCCAACATTTACTTCCACTCCCCTAACACCCTGTTTTCGGGAGAACTTTCAGCTGCATGTAATCTAGCTGCCAGTCCAGCTTACTTGGCTACTCACAGCTAAACATCTTATTTTGAAAAGGAACCAAATGTTGACTTCTCACAGTTCATATGGGTAGCCATCTATGTATTCAGCTTTACGTTTCAGATAAGAGACTAGGAAGTAAACGCTACTGGCTCCTAGGATTCCAGAAGCTTAGAATCCAGGAGCACGGATGTGGGAGCGCAGACTTGTGGTAATACAGCCAAGTGGAATCCAGGATCAGTGCTTCAGGGAATCAAGGTAGAAGGATGGGCTGCATCTGGAGGTGTCAGGAAAGAGTTCGGAAAATCACTTTGCTGGGAGAATACGGACGTTTGCCCGGTGAAGCCCCAGCTTGGTCTTTGCTATCACCAGATGAAAGGCCATAGCCTGGAAAGCTATATTCAGACTTGTTAGGGCAGAACTTATCAACTCCTTTTTGTTCACACACCCCCAAAAGAAGTCTGGAAAAATCACATGCCTTTTACATTTATTTGAGTTGACATCTACATTTTGTATCATAAGTTTCAATAATGGCAAAGAATATAATTTCCAATATGCTGTGAATGCTGACATTTTAAAATTGCTACAGCATTTTTTTTTAATGTGCCCAGTGGAGTCTAAATGTCAGGATGATTTTTATCAGGCCCAACTTTCATTTTTAAAAAAAGTACACAGACAAGTGCCTCTCCAACAATCTGTACACTTGGAGATTTTTTCTCTTGAACTCACATTTTCAGTCTACTCTCCTTACAGAATTTTAATGTGATGGAATGGATTTTTATGCTTTAAAGTTTTTTTTATTGATTATATTCTTCTACATCTTTTCAAGAAAATATGTATAGTAATTAAAATTTATTTTAGTTACCTATGGACAGAAAACTTAATGGAGATATTTAAAGTTAATACACAACCCAAACAACATAAGTACATTTCAAATCCTGCTGGATAATTATATACTATGAAAGGCGCATTTATTTTGAAAATCAGTCTAGTAGATGGATGATGCTTAAAAAATGATCTCTATACGTATTGCCAGGATGAAACGTAAGTTCAACAACAATTGTGTCATTCATTGTTTCTTGTCTTATTTTGCATGTACATGGTGGGAAAGTTTAATGACATAAATAAATACATTAGCATGGAAGAATTTTATTTCAGCAAGGTCATTTAGTCCCTTGAACTCCTGAGCTGTCAACCAAAAAACAGAAATCATCAAAAATGATCTGTTGGCTGAACCTTGGATGAAGCGCTCATTCAGATTTAGAAATAGGAGCTATCTCAGATAACTTGATTTGTTGCCTGCTCATCAAGGACTTTCACTTTCCGAGCTCCTGATCAACACCATTTCTGTAACCTGCAGAGGTTGTTTTTAGCGCTGTTAGGTCTTATCTATAGGTGTTGGGGCTTTAGAGTTTCTACACCATCCCTAAAGTTTATCAGGCCTTGATCTTCGCTTACATAAAAACAAAGAATTATTAACCCACACTATATTTGGCTTCGAATATTTTTCATTTAAAATACAATCAAATACATTCACAGACATTGAGCTTTTGTATTAGGGAATACATATGCAGCTCTGAAGAGGAGTCAATATGCAAATACGGACCAAGTCATTTTGAGATAAATGTCCAGTGTCCTACAGAAACTACTTAGATGGAGATCAGAATCTCTAGGGTTGAGTAGTTCCACTGTCAGGGGACTTCAAAAGTCTGAGAAAAGCTGGAATTCAAAGATTAAAAAATATTAAGACAAAACATAAACTTTATTTCTTAAAATGAGCTCCATTAAGTTTCAGACACTTTTTCAAGCCGTGGTAACTGTTCTCTATTTAGTCCGTATCTGAAAAACCGAGGATCCTAGAAATGTCAAGTCAGTTCAGTCTTTTTACATTATTAGCCAAAGAAGGATCTTTTTTAAAGATTAGGACCAAAAGCAAATGAGAGGGAACCAAATTAGGACCGTAAGGTGGATGCTGAGCAAACACTCACAAGGTTCCCCTTGTGTGGTGAGAACAGGAGCCAGGAGCATTGCTGTGATGGAGAGGGTCTCTCTGATGACATTCTCCTGGTTGTTTTCCTCCAATGGCTGTGTCTCACAGAATGAGCTAACACTCTTTGGCCTTCAGAGAGTCCACCAGCCGAAGGCATCAGGTGTCTCCCAGATCTTCACTGTTAACACATCTGCTGTTGCTTTGATCAGGCCACTCCCGGCCCTCGGTAGCCATTGCTTTGGGTCTACTTTGCCTTCAGGATCACACTGGTCACGCCCGGGTTTTATCTCCCATCACAGTTCTTGGATGGAGCACTTCCCAATCTTGAACTCCCCTTTTGTGAAATTTCCAGAGAAAGTTCTACGCTTCAATGGTTTTACCATTTTTTCCATCGAAGAGTCTTTGTCAATTGGATACTCATTCTTGTTTGAATTTTAGCAGAGCCTGTGTTGCTCTCGTAAGGGCAGATTCCAACTAATGTCTCGTTCTGTTTAGTGACTCAAACTAGATCCTGCTTGACAGGTTGTAGCAAGTTAATGTGAATCTCTTTTGATGCCAAAAATTGTTGAAATCCATGCATTTTTTTTGTTTTAATTTTATTTTCACAATTCAGATTTTCCACCATTTTTTTTCCTAAGATCACATGTACATTATTTTCTCTCTTTGGACAGACTTTTTTCTCTATTTCTTAGCCACTATAAAATTAGTCTCTTGGGCCTAGCACAAAGGCTAAGTGGCTAAATTGTCACCTTGAACGCTTCGGGGTCCCATATGGGTGCTTGTTGTGTCCCAGCTGCTCCACTTCCCATCCAGCTCCCTACTTATGGCCTGGGAAAGCAGGAGAGGATGGCCCAAAGCCTTGGGAATCTGTTCCTGGCTTTGAATTGGCTCAGTTCCAATCATTGCAGCCACTTGGGCAGTAAACCAGCAGTCAGAAGATCGATCTCTTTCTCTTTCTCTCTCTCTCTCTCTCTCTCTCTCTCTGTATATCTGATCTGCCTTTCCAAAATAAATAATAAATAAAAGCTTTAACAAATAGCCTTTCAATATCATGTACATTTCAAATTGATGAACTTGTGCATAAGTGAGTTGATTTCTTAGAAAGAAAACCTGTTACCAAAATTCACTTAACTCTTCTTGTTTCAGTATTTGTTCAGCGAGCTCCAGGTGGCCTGGTGAGGTCAGAGAGGTCTCTCAGGGTGTTCTTCCAGAAAGAGATGTGTACATGCTGGCTGGGTGGTTGGGGGGAGGGACAAAAATACCATCCTGTGACTATGCAACTTAATGCCAGAGCTTCAGCAGGGCTGAATGCAAAGCTGTTATGGTTGGCAGCATATGGTACAGCTCATTAAACCACAGTCTGCAACAGACATCCCATGGATGTGCCAGTGCCAGTCCCAATCCCAGCTGCTCTCCTTTCCATCCAGCTCCTGCCAATGCACCTGGAAAGGCAGTAGCAGATGGTCCAAGTGCTTAGGTTCCTCCCACTGTCATGGGACACCTGGATGGAATTCCATACTCCTGACTTTGGCCTGGTCCAGCCCTGCCTATTGTGACCCTGTGGAGTAAACTAGATGAAGATTCCTCTCTTTGTGTGTGTGTGTCTCTCTCTCTCTCTCTTCCTCTCTCTCTCTCTCTCCCTCTCTCAAATAAATGAACCTTTTGAAAAAAAGACGGTTAGTGACTGGAAAGACTCTTCCTGCTCTCTGGAACAGTAGCATAGCTCTGGCTTGGTGGGTGGGAGCCCTTGGCTGGCTGCTGTGTTAAATTCAGGCAAAGCCACTGGCTAACCAGCGATGAGAGAGGGGTCAGTGGACTCTCAACCTGGGCAGGGTCAGCAGGCAGTAAGGTTCCAGGGGGTCCCAACTAAGATATGTCCAGGAGTGTAGGCCTGACATTGAACAGGTAGAAGGAGACTCTTTAAGAAAAAAAAGAATATAAAACACAAATAATGAGAATTTAAAAGGATTTTTATTTAAAATAAGAAATTATAAATTTGGAGGCCAGTGTTGTAGCCCAGAGGAATAAGCTGCCACTTAGAATGCTGATATTTCATAATATTGGAGTGCTATTTTCAGTGTTCTTGGGAAGGCAGGCAATAATGGTTCAAGTACTTGGGTTCCTACCAACCATGCAGGAGACCTGGATGGAGTTCCTGGCTTCACTTTCAGCTTGGCCCATCCCTGACTGTTGCAGGCCTTTGGGAAGTGAATCAGTAGATTAGAGACTCTGTCATTTTCTGCAAAATTTTTGAAAAGAACCTATATGCATGGATTTCAAAATTCTTTGCACCAAAATAAGCTTTGAAAAAAAATCTATCTATTTATTTTAGAGAGAGTGGGGGACACAAAGAAAGAGAAAGCAAGCTTCCATTTACTAGTTTACTTCCTAAATAATTGCAAAGGCCTGATGTAAGCCATGAGGCAGGGGGAGTTAGCCACTCCATCTGGGTCTCCCACGGTGGTGGCAAGGACCCAGGTTGGTGAGCCATCCTCGTTGACTGCCTGCCTGAAGGCCCATGAGCAGAAATCTGGATTCAGGCAGTCTGTGTAAGGCTTCCAGAAACCTCTTACATGTTGGGCCAAGTGTTCACCCCTTTGATTTTCATTTTCTGTGAATTCTTTCACGTGTCTCTATGTTTGGCCAATATATCTCCTCAATGATCGCCTTCAGACAAGACTGATGTCTACAGCCAGAATATGAAGATAATCCTCCAGCTCAGCTGACATTTGATTCAACTTATATTCACAGCTCTGACCCATTTCAGCTTCACAAACAGTTTTGGGGAATGCAGTGTGAGTTTTTAATCAGATTTGGGGAAACCTGTATCAAGTTAATGTTCATATTGGACTTTAGATGAGATCTTTTAAGACTCATACATTCTTAGAAGATGTCAGGGCATTTTGATTTGGATTTCGCTGTGATCCTATCTTGAATACTTTTGGAATTGGGAATTGGAAAGAAGCTTTACAAGAAAAGATCCAGAAAATCAAGCACTGAAGATAAGTCAGCTTCCATTCCCGCTCTTCCCTAATATTTATCTAAAGGTTTGGCTCAGTGGCTCCGCTCTGCATATGATAAAATAATCATTTAGTGGATCTCTTAGTGACAACGAAACTCCCTGGCTTCTTGTTCTGTCTTTGAAGTGCACGGTGACCTGTGGCCGGGGGTTGCGTTACCGGGTTGTCCTGTGCATCAACCACCAAGGACAGCACGTGGGAGGCTGCAACCCACAACTGAAGCTGCACATCAAAGAGGAGTGTGTCGTTCCTATCCCATGCTATAAACCCAAAGGTAAGTTGGTGATGCTTTTTTTAAATTGGCTCTTCCATTCCAGCCTTTCCATTTGAACACACTTGCTTGCTTAAAAAGTCTGTTTTACTAGGAAATCACAGTAGAGATGTCCACATAGACAAAGACATTGGACACATGGCGTTTATGCATCTGGAGGGAGCCCTGAGCTGCTGTTGATTTAGTACAGATTCGGTGGGACTAAGCTTGCCAGATGATGTCATGGGATGCAGTCCCTGCCTTGAAGAAGCAAGAGAATAAACAATAGGAGCAAAAGAAGGGATGCGTGCAACGTGAGGACATGGAGGAAGAGAAAGAGGAGCAGGAAGAGGAGGAAGATGTGCAGCAGGGAGGGGGATTGTCTGCTCCCACGTTCTTTCTTCTCCGTCGTAGATGTGCTTTGCATAGACTACTGCGTGAGAGTGTAGGTTTCGAGGGAGGAGGGGTATTACCTTCGTCACATGTCTGCTGCATGGAGTAGAAAGACTGAGCAATTGATATAAGAATAGGGAACTTAGATTTTTATTTTTCTGTGCTTCCACATAAACTCCTAGAACTGGGTTGAAAAAGCTCAGTATCATATCTGGAATAGATGACCCTCTGTTCTCATGATCACTTTCAACAGTGTCTGCAGGGTATTTCCAACCCTCATGACAAGTAACTTTCTTGAAAAGGTAAGATTATTCCTACCTGTTAGTTAAGAGGATGTCTTCCTTAGTGTCTTAGGATGATAAAAGTCTCCTTTGAGATTTCTGAGTTCACTAACCGTACAAATAACCTCATAACTAACCGTTTATCAAGTGTTTATTGGACTGGAAAGTCGCTATTGGCTGTGACAGGGACATACATGATCACGTGATTTCCATCAGCAAAGTCTTTTTCTCCTTTATTCTTCACTCTGTGAAACCTCCACAGCCACCTACATAGCATCTGTAATTTCTCCAGGGCCACCCCAATTTCCTTTTTACTTCCTTAATAACTAGATGATCTGTGTCTTCACATCTGCCAGCTGTGATTGGCAGTCATGTTCCTCAACAACAACAAAGGAGTTGTAATAAACTATCACACAGCATCTTTCACCCTCTCTCTTATGTACGTTTCTCTAATGATTTCTGCAGTCAGTGAGCAAAAGAAGTTTGTGGAAAAATAAAGCAAGCTAATGTGATTGAAATAAGGGGCTTAACACGTAGATAGCAGAAATTGGTGTTGATTTTTAAAAGGCATGTTATGGTAATTTTGAGAGCACGTCCAACCGTATCGTCAGGTTATTTGGGTTATGTTTTGATAATGTATTAATTTAAAAAGATTCTAACATGGATTGGAGTGCCTGGGGTCAAATCTTGACTTCCCTTCCCATTTCAGCTTCTTGTTGATGAATGCCCTGGGAGGTGGAGATCATGGAGGAAGGGGCGGTCAGGGCAGCAGGTGATAAATCAGGTGCTTAGACTCAAGTAGCCTAAGACCAGTGTGAGATTTGAACTCTAGGCTCCTGGATTTGGCCTGGCCCATATATTGTGGGCTTTTGGGCAGTGAACTGGCAAATAAAAGATCTCTCTCTTCTGTTCAGATGAATTAAAAAGATGAAAATGCTGTGTACATTTTTATTCACTCCAGGAGTCACCTGTGTTAGTGTGTACTTGAAAACTGTAACCTCTGAACTTAGTGAGATCTCCTGCCAATAAAGACCTAGTGTCAGGCTCCTTTTTCTGATAGTAATCAAGTTTGTTGTTTGTGTTCTTTTTTGCCTCAGAAAAGAGTCCAGTGGAAGCTAAATCGCCTTGGCTGAAACAAGCACAAGAACTGGAAGAGACCAGAACAGCATCAGAAGAACCCATGTGAGTCTAGGATCTTTGATGGGCGCCATCAGCGCATAGCCAGTTAACATGATCGATGTAATTTTTGTACTCATTGGAGTACAGTAATACGTTTAGGATCCAAATGGCCTGGATTTGCAAACTCTAGAGAGTTCAAGCTGGCTAGCACTTTTCTTTATTTCACAATTCAGCAGTCCTAGTTTGGCAGTGTCTGTGAGAAGCACGGAAAAGAATAGTGGTATTTAACTCAAAGCAGACCCAGTGGTCTGTGATGGTTAAAAGGTCAGGGATAATTCCTAAATTATCGCATATGGTTTGACCAAGGACCATCATTCCACGGGTAAGTCATGGCCAATTGCTAAAAAGCCAATGAAGTTAAAGTGTATCAGGGGAGCCATGGCTGTTGCCATATAAGGAAGTGACAAGGGTGAGGTATTAGGAGTGGAAAGCTTAAAACTGTCACCACTGGCTGTGTGACCTTGGGTGAGTCTTCCATTCTTGTGCATCCCTTTCTCTTTATCTATAAAAGAAGCAGGTTGGGCCTGATCTCTGAAGGGTCCATGCCAACTTAAAAACTCAGTGACTGCTGTCTACATGTGTTTTGATGAATCTTCAATTGTAATTATTTCAGTGGAAATCAGGAATCAAGAGCAAATCAGAGAAATTTTCCAGAAGTAGAGACAAAGGGCTGAAAAAGGACACAAAATGAAAGGTGCAATGAGAGTTCTAGTCCAGAAGCATAGAGGAACAGCGGCACCCATGATAGCCCAAGTACTTGGACGAGACAGCCGATGCCATGTCAGACACACCAAGTCAGCAATGCTGACAAGCTGTGTGCGAGCAGAGCAGTTCACAGAACATTACAGGGAAGGGGTTCTCAGCAGTAACCTGGCCCACTGCCCTCTCAGAGCAGGCCTTGATTCTTCAACACCTTCAGCAATGGGCTGAGTTCACTGTCCCAAGAGACCATGTGTTATGCTGAAGTCCCGTGGAAGTTACAATAACTTGGCCAACACCAGCCTTAAGGGCCAGAAGAGACCAGAATAGCAACAGAACCTGACTTTTTTGTAAGACTTTTTCCCCCTCCCATTGAGCCAAAACAGACCTGCTAATTTCTGTTCTCTGAAACAAAATAAAGACAAAAAGCGCATTGCTGCTGCCCCTCCCCCAAGTGGCAAATCCTCACAAACCTGCAGAAAGCTGTGCTGGAGCCCCAGAGCCCAGTGGACCCTCAGGTCATTGCTCTTGGCCTGTTGAGCAGTTTTAAGTACTGTTGTTTTCCGACCCCTGAGCAGCCTCTGTGTTGTTCTCAGAACACACTCATTTGTCAATGTCCCTTTCAGCCCAGGGGGAAGTCCCAGGCAAATAGGGATTCCTTCTCTGCGAGAAAGCACTGGATATCTAGTGATGTGGGCCAAGACAGCTGGCATGCCCACGCAGATGACCGTCAGACCTGCATGTGACCACAAAAGAAAGCTGTGGGTGTGATGAGGCTGGGTGGTCCCCAGCATGACTGAGTAAAGAGAGAAGAGCATGGAGCTTATAAGGGAAGCTCAGAGACGCTGAGGAACAGGGAGAGGAACACAGAAGAGGTTACTGGTGTAGGAGTGATGTGGTGAGCCGAAGATGGAGCCAGGGTCAGTGAACTCTACAGGGTCAGCAGAGGGTTCAGCAAATAGGACTGCCCAAAAGTTGAGGAAACAGGAGAGCTGGGAAGACGCTGGATCAGTGGGGCCCAAACTCTTTTTCGGTTAAGTCAAGCGCAATATCATTCAAAAGATGCAGATGGATGAAATGGGTTTCTGATTGAGGAGGGAATGAACTGATGTGAATTTGATTACTAATGAGAAGAGTAGAGATGAAAATTGAGATGATAGAAAAGACTTTGTGTGTGCAACAACTTCTAAAAGTTCACAAGGTTGCCAGTGTGGTGGTACAAGAAGCCAGTCCTCTATTTGTAGCATTAGGATCCCTTATGGGTGCTGGTTCAAGTCCCAGCTGTGTCACTTCCCATCCAGCTCCCTGCTGATGACCTGGGAAAACCACAGAAGATGATCCGAGTCCTTGGGTCCTGGACCATGTAAGAAGCTCCTAGCTTCAAATCAGCTCAGCTCCAGGCATGGTGGCCATTTGGGGAGTGAACCAGCAGATGGAAGATCCTTGGTATCTCTATGTAAAATGTTGCCTTTCTGATAAAAACACATTAATCTTTTTTTAAAGGCTCACAGAAATTGAATTAAAAGGTTCAGTTAATTTTGTTGGAAAAACCTTCAGAAATCCACACCCACACATAGCTTTTTTTTCATGATATACTTCTTATGAACTTTTTGAAGATTCCATGTATATATGAATTTTAAAATGTTTTGCACCAAAATCAATTGTCTTTTAAATTTTTTTTTCTTATTTGTTCTTATTTTTGTTTGAAACAGAGCAGGGGAACACAGAGATCTTTCAATTGCTGCTTCACCCAACCCCTGCCTCCAGGCACCCCAATTTTGGGGAATGGATAAGACTGAAGCCAGTAGAGAGCATAGGCTCCGAGCCCACTGAACAACATCGTATTCCCTCTCTCCCTACAATCCCAGCAACCTCTGTGCTGCCTCTGTGAATTTTCGTTTTCTGCCTTTGGAACAAGGATGGGAATGTGCAGCAAAGTTTGGGAACCCCTGGATCAGTTCCCTCTGAGGTCAGAAAGTCCCTGGGCTAGGGGGGAATGGAAAAAGCCAAGCTTATTCTGGCACCAGAAAAAGAGAACACAATCCATGCATCATTTTTCGTAATTCACATTTTCCACAGACTTTTTGAAGACCATTTGCGCTGTTGATTTTGCAGCACGAGAAGAATGGTGATATTATATTACCTTTTCATATCATAGTCATTTCAACTGGATCTAGCTAGGGATTCCCCTGCCCATTGTTCACAAAATGAAGCTCCTTGAGGCTCTTGGCTCCTGAAGGGCACTGCTGTCTTCTCCACATGCAGGGCAGGGCTGACGACACCTACCCGAGAGGCCTGAGCTGCTGCCTTGCCCAACTCTCACCATCTCTTCATCTCCTCCATCTCTTCTGTGCTATTTCCACCTAACTGGCATGGCCAGGCAGTCCCTAACCTGTGCCAGGATTCTGGTGTGGAGCTGGTGGTTTTCTGCCCACTGCTTTTGCCTCCATCCCTTCTCTGGATTTCCAGACCAAATTGTGATGTGTTATAGCTTCCAGTCCTTCCCTTCATTAGCCCTGCCACCATTGCTGGGCACTGCTAGCTTGCTGGTAGTGAAGGTCAGACGGGCCCGCTGTAAGTCACATCCTCCAAGGACAGCCTGCCAAACCAGCCTGCAGAAGGGAGGCAGTTCCACCTCTGTGGTTAACCACAGCCAGAGATCTTAATTGATACAGCAAGCGGATGTTCCAAGAGTCTTCATAAAGCGAGGGTAGAGGGACTGTCGTGCTGAACTTCTTAGCTTTCAGCTGTGGAATTTGGTGACGGCTGATGCAGATCCTGGTAGTTTCAGCCTTCCATTTGGGAACCTGCTTAGATGGAAGGGTATTCACAATGCTTTAACCGTCCTGTTACTCTCTCCCTCAATTTTCCATATGTGACCACTGAGTTCATTGCACAGTTGTAAACATTTTCCCCCGTTGTTTTGGCTTCTGCATTTGTGGAAAGTTGTGTTTGCTAAAACTGGATTAGGTTGCACTTTAGAGAATTGTTTTCTTTTAGAACATTTATGGATTTAATTGGAAAGGCAGAATGGCACAGAGAGAGCTTCCATCTGCTGGTTCTCTCCCCCAAATAGAAAAACCAGGACTGAGCCAGGCAAGCCCAACATAGCTGGAACTCCATCCAAGTCTCCCGCATAGCTAGCAGGGGGTCCAAGCACTTGGCCCATCTTACACTCGATTTAAATAAAAGCATCCGTTATTTGAAAAGCAGAAATAAAAAGGGATTGAGAGATTGAGATCCTCCATCTGATCACCCATTCCCAAATGGCCACAAAGGCAGGAGCTAGACCAGTTTGAAACCAGGAGGCAAGAGCTTCCTCTAGGTCTCCCATGTGTATGCAGGGACCCAATCACTTGAGCCATCCTCCACTACTTTTTGAGGTTCATCAGCAGGGAGCTGGAATGGAAATAAAGCATGGTCTTGAAACGGCACCCTTATGGAGTGGGCAGCAATTGTATCAGCTATGCCACTGCATCAGCCCTGTCTTACACTTCTTTCCCAGATTCAGTAGCAGGGATCTGGATCGCTGGAGCAACTGGATGAGCTCATGCAGGTGCCAGTGCTGCAGACGACAGCCTAACTTGGTGTGCCACAACGCAGACCCCCACTGTCTTCTGACAATGACACTTATCAGCTAATATCAAGGATTTCTCTCCAGGGAAACTATAGTCTAAGGATTATTTTAGCATCATCTTGCAACAGCATTATCAGCATCTTTACTTCGGCACTGGCGGTAGCGAAGCATTAAAAGATGAGAGAATCAGCCGTTGTGTCATATCTGGTTGAGTAATGGACACTACAGCATGTACATCTACAGAGTTGTCATGTAACATAGCCCAGGTTTCGGTCTCACCCATCATTAGTGATGCAGTACGTGGAAGTGAGTAATCATATAATGGTGTTGGACAGTAAGTGGCACAAGGTTGCATAGTGTCATCATTTCAATGTGTTGTTACGGAGGTCAAGGATGGATTCTGATGTCTTAAGGTGAGTGTTTGCGATGGAGGCTCTGGTGCATGTTGATCGGCTCCTAAAGGCCATGTTTATCTTTCCGCCAGGAAAAAAAAAAAAAACGTAATTGCGCATGTGAAATTCTAGAAAGATCTCACAGCTCCCTGTGGTTTGTTTCTGTTCATTCTCTGTGACAAGTAAAACTGCAGCAAATTGTCCATCTCTAATTGTCCCTCATTAGGACATATTTGTCAGGGTAGAATTTCTGGATCAGAAGCCACATAGAAGCACTCAGAAAGTTCCCGCTGATTCCCCTTGCCCACTGGCAGCTCCTTCCCTCGCCTTCATCGACATCAAGAAGCTGTGTCTATTAATGCTATTTGCTGTTTTGTTTTGGTTTTTTATCGTTTCAAGTTGTACACAGTTGGATACTCAGATACATAGGGTCAAACAGTATTTTCCAAATAAATAACCAGATGCCCTAGCATTGTTTATTAAATAAGCCAAGACTATCTAGCTTGGTTTCAAAACACCTTCCTTGTGTGGACTCAGTCCTCCGAGTGCCAAGATGAGATGAGGAATCTTCAAAATGTTCGTGGAAGATGTGTAATGTGAAGAAAACTATGCATGAGTTTCAAAAACTTTCTGTACCAGAACATCTTTTTAGATTTATTTTATTTGAAAGACACAGTGACAGAAGAAGGAGAAGACGCATACAGGGAGAAGGAAGGTGGGCACAGAGAGATCTTCCATATGCTGGGTCACTCTCCAGATGCCTGCAGCGGTCAAGGCCGAAAGGCAGGAACTGTGCTCAAGTCTCCCTTCTGGCTTGAAGGAAAACCCAGTCACCTCAGAGGTCATCTGCTGCTGCCAGGTGCGTCAGGAAGGAGCCTCTGTGAAGCTGGGGGAGCTAGGACTGGAACCGAACACTCCAGTTTGGGATGCTGTGCCACAACACCTATCCCCCAAAATATTTTTAATCATACCTTATTTTCTTCACAAAGGTTTTGAAGCAGCCTCATAGTATTCGAAAAACATTTTTCTAGTCCATTTTTTTCTATCTTGCTGTACTAGTACTGTTATTCTATTTTTAAATGTTCTTGATTTCTCTCACCTAACCATTCACAAAACTTGAGTTGTGCTGTTTCCAACTCCGACCTTGCCCTCCACCAGTTGCCTCTGAGATTTAGATAGAAAGTGCATATTTTTCTAAATGTAACTAAGAGAGGACGAATATCTTGTGATTTTGCATCCCCTCACTAAGGACCTAATGGTAAATTTTTATGTGTTCAAACTTTGGTTAGAACTCTGTAAGTATGTTCTAGGTTTTGTTTTATCAGCTCTGTACATTTCTGATCAAGTATTTGTTTATAGAACTTGGTCATTTTTCTCACACTTTGAAAGCCCCAGCTGACCTCATCTATAAAGCCAGGAAAAACAACAATACTTACTTGTAAAGTCATGAAAATTATGTTAAATAATGCATAGTATCTGAACCTAAGTATGGTTAGTTGGAATCTGGGAAAGCTGGCAATTAGTATAAATATTATCTACATATTTATACATTCGTATAGGTAGACACACATAGCTGATGATAACTTTTTTCAATTTTGTGACCTTCTCCAAATTTTTTTATTTTACTGTTTCATGGTTCCCATGTCATCTTCAAATAATGACAATTTTTAAAAATATTTACTTATTTTTTATTGGAAAGTCACGTTTATACAGAAAAGGAGAAACAGAGAGAAAGATCTTCCATCTGCTAGTTCACTTTCCATGTGGCTGCAATGGCCAGAGTTGAGCTGAGCCAAACCCAGGAGCCAGGAGCTTCTTCTGGATCTCCCATCTGGGTGCAGAATCCCAAGGATTGGGGCCATCCTATGCTGTTTTCCCATACCACAAGTGGGAAGCTGGATGGGAAGTGGAACAGTCAGATACAAACCAGTGTCCATATGAGATTCCGGCTTATGCAAGTTGAAGATTTGAGTCAGTAGGCTACTGTGATGGGCCCATAATGACAATTTTAAATACTCTGACTCATTTCCTGAATGTGCGCAGGGTTTTCATTAGGAAACACTGGAGCCAGAGTCAGTGCTTGTTATTAAGATTTATCATTTGGAACCAAGAAAATTAGTAACAAATTATGGTTATTGTGTATACTTTGTTTTTGAAAGAAAGTGACCTATGACATTTTATTTGGTTTTATATCTTGTTCCATATAGTGTTAATTGTATGTTTACACATTTTAATGCTTGGGGCTGGTGTTGTGGACTGCTAGGCTAATCCTACATCTGCAAGCACCAGCATCCCATATGGAAGCCAAGCTGCCCTACTTCCAGGCCAGCTCTCTACTTAGGCCTGGGAAAGCAGTGGAGGATGGCCTAAGGCCCCTGCAGCCATGTGGGAAGTCCGGAGTACATTCCTGGTTCCCAGGTTTGAATCAGTTCAGCTCTGACCATTGTGGCCATTTGGGAAGTAAACCAGTGGATGGGAGACCTCTCTGTGTCTCCTTCTCTGTCAACATCTTCCTTTCAAGTAAAAATAAGCAAATCTGTACTATAAATAAATAATTCTCATCACCAGTTTTTATGTCACATGTCATGTACAAATTCACTCATTCATCCATTTATTTGAGAGGGAGAAGCTCCCACTGTTTTAATCTTGGTATGTCTGGGAGCTGACAACTCAAGTCACATCTCCCACGTGGGTGGCAGGGATCTGTCTGTTGGCTGGAGACATCACCCTGCCTGTTAGACTCAGGTTCCCGTATTCTCCATTCCATCACATTAGGCAGGCACCCGGTTCCTGTCTTACAGAACATGATTGATTCCTGCCTGAATAACAACCCAGGTGTGCTATACCTGAAACTAAGTTCATTTCCCTCAGATTTCTACTCTTAGCGTGGGCCTTTGGTTGGGACGCCTGCATTCTGGCCACACGCTGGATTGCAGCTTCCTGCCATGTGCACCCCAACAGGCAGCAGGCAACTTCTGCAGTTCTTGGCTCCCCGCCACCCACATGGAGATTAGGAATTGACCTCCTTGCTGCAGGCTTCAGCTTGTCCCCAGCTGGGATGTTCATGGGCATTTGGGAACTGAACCAGCACATGGGAGATCTCGCCCTCTATCTGCCTTGCCAATAAAGTAAATAAAAACATTCATCTAAGAACAAAACCCACAACTTGTAGGTCATCGTTTTCTGGGTGAGCATGTTGAATGCATCTGAAGTTAACCTGTCTTTCTGTTCCATTTTTGTCCTAGATGCCTTTCTAATTCTTCCTTTGTTTTCCAAGTTGGAATTTTTCTTCTTAGCCAGATGTATTCCTTTTTCGATGGTGGCTGTTAACCAATGACTACAAACTTGGAACTATAAACCCAGATGCTTTGTCAGTTGACAGTTCTATAGGTAAGAAGGCCAGAAGTCCTCGAGGACCCAAATCACTGTGGCATGGAGCTCTCCTGCGCCTGCGTGGGAGACGCCGCATGCAGGCTGGCACTGGCAGTGGCAGAATTTTGTTACATATGGCTGTGGCACCCAGGCCTCCATGTCTCTGTGGCTGTTGGCTGGGAAGTTGCTGTGGTCCATCTCTGGAAGCTGCTGCAATCCCGGGGTTTGCCGCTGCCCCTTCCTTCTGCGAGCCAGCAGCAGCTGAGCTCAGCTCAACCCAGTCCTGTTTCAGATCCCTCTAGCTTCTTGTTCTGCACCATCTTTCAAACTCCAGCCATGGAGTACATCTCTGTTTGTAAGGGCCTGTGTGCTTAGCATGGGCCCTGCCAGATCTCCTGGTGTCTCTCCCCAGCTCTGAGTCTGTGACCTTCAGCACACCAAGAGAGTTCCGTTTGCCGTGTATCAGGACATAGTTACACATGCAAGGCCTCAGGGTTTGGGGGTACGAAGGTTTTCTTTTTTGTGGGGGAGGGTGTTATTCTGCCCACAACTCAAGGCTTCAATGTTCATCATTTTGATCTGGCTTTCTTAGAAGATGGTATATCTTTTCAGGATGCATTTTAAAACATATTGATGTCTCATTACTGGATCCTCTACTTGATAAATGCAATTATCTTCTATTTTGGATAACTCAGGTTCTCCCTCACATTGTGTGCAACAATTACATGTTTTAAACAAGTACTTGAGCCCAAGTACATGGACCATCTTCCACTACTTTTCAAGGTATATTATCAGGGAGCTTTGCCAGAAGTGGGGCAAGATGTGGGATGCCAGCAGCACAGCAGCTTAACCCACTAAACTGCAATGCTATTTGAAAGCCAAATGAAACAAAACCAGAAACTACCTAATGTTGCTTTTGCAGAAGTCACAACACAGAATTTGGATTAGAACGCCGATTGGGATGTAGAATGTATTTTTTCATGAGGAATTGTTTCTGTTGCTACAAAGACTTGGAAATGTATTTGCTGTCAACAAAAAGCATAGCATTCTGAATGGACGCATTTTCTCTGAGAACTTGTTTTTTCCTCACTGAGGGCTTGTCTCACCTCCTTTCTAGTGCCTGTATTAAACAATCACTCTTGTCCTCCCCGGTGGCCCCTGGCTTTCCCCAGGTTCATTCCAGAACCCTGGTCGGCCTGCAGCACCACCTGCGGTCCAGGTGTCCAGATCCGTGAGGTCAAGTGCCGCGTGCTGCTCAAGTTCACACAGACGGAGACTGAGCTGCCTGCAGAGGAGTGTGACGGCCCCGAGCTGCCCAGCGAGCGGCCCTGCCTCCTGGGAGCCTGTGAAGAGGGCCTCACCTCCTCAGGGCCAGACACCCTCCTCCAGGAGAAGGACAGTGAGACGACCTATGACTGGGAGTACGCCGGCTTCACTCCCTGCACAGCGACCTGCTTGGGAGGTACTGAAACTTTGGCTCAATGGACAGATACGTGGTACATTAGAATGGTTTGGGAACGCACTAGGTTGGGTAGACCAGATGTGCAAACTAGCCAAAGCCAAGAGAAAGAGAAATGTAACTAATAGAAAATTGTGCATTTTTTTTCTTCAAAAGTTTTATTTGAAAAGTAAGCAAAAGAGACAGAGAAAACAAAAACGAGAGGGGGGGGAGAGAGAGAGAGCTATCTTCTTGCCTCTAGTTTATTCCCAAAATGCTTATAGCAGTTAGGGCCAGGCCACAGGAAAGTCAAAAGCCCAGAATATCTGGTGTCCTACACTGGTGACCCACATGGGGCCCAGGTACTTGAGCTAGCACCTGCTGCCTCGCAGGATGAAGATTAGTAGGAAGCTAATTTAGAAGTGGAGGAGCAGGGACTCAAGCCAGGCTCTGTAACACAGGAAGCAGGCATCCCAAGCAGGAACTTAACTTCCTGTGCTACCACACCTGCCCCAACTATGTGTTTTCTTTCCTTTATTTATTCTTTTTTGCAGTGATTACTCTAGAAGGGTGACGGGTAGTAAGATTATATCCTGATCAAAAGAAAAAATTGCCTATTCCTTTGCAATTAAGACAATCTTGTGCGTACATCTGTTCTTCAGATTGAGGCAGCCTAGGAGTACTGCGTGCAGTGCAGATCGCACATAAGCTACTCTGTATAATGATTTGGCTCACACCTGCACCTTGGGTAGCAATCAACAGTGAATAGATGTGTCACCACGATCTTGGATGTGTAGGGAGTGATGTGCAAAGCCAGGGCACCTTGGTAATATCAGAGAAGGGCTGTAGAACAGGCAACCCACTAGGAAGAATTGGCCACAAGGGCTATGAAAGTATCCTGAGTTCCAAAGAGAGTGAGTGAGCAGGGAACAGTCTGCCCTGTAGGATCTTGTTGAAAAATAGAAAGATAGAAGTAAGCAATAAAAGAGCTAGAGCTTTCGCTAACATGAAGCTGACTTGGTGTCGGGGGACCCAGGCCCCCAATACCCTGTCCTCTGACTCCAGGTTGTGTCTTTGAGCCAGCCAAGCTGGAATGGACTTTACCCCTGAACATAATGCCCTGATGTCAATCAGTTCCAACCAAGGGTGGGTAAAATACCAGGAAAAGCTGCTTTACAGGTATTGGCTCAACAGCCCACTCTACTCAACAGTGCACCCCACTCAACAACCTGCTTCACTCTGCCTAGGGTCCTGAGCCTACGACCTTGGACTCCCTGCCAGGTCAGGGAGCACATGGCCCAGTCCTTGTGCCTGAACTCCTCACTCTTTGTTTCCCAGGACCTCCATCCTGAATTCTCAATCCTTGCCATTCAGGCTCCACCACTCAATGCTATCTTTCACTTCCTAGTCTAATTCAAGCTCTGTCTAGTGTGACCTTGACAACTGCTGTCCAACATGGCCAGGATCACAATAGCACCACTAAAATGGCAGATGCCTGATCTAGCCTGCAGCTAAGCTGCTGCTTGGCGTAAAAAATTACAGGTGTGGCATTTAGGACACAAATCCTGAGTTCCTCCCAGATTCCTCCTGTTGTTCTCTTACTCGTTTCTTCTTACATTCTAGGAACCCATTTCACCCAAGTAGGAGTCATTGGCACCTTAAATGTCTTCTGTATCTTTTCCCTGGTCGTCTCAGTGCCCTCCCCTGACAGCCTCCTGCCCATGCTTAGTTCCTCTCCAGGATCCTGGATTTGTCCCTTGTAATGTCTTGGAAACTGTCACACTGACATACCCTTGGACATTTGGATATAGATGTGTTCTCTTGATGAGTCTGGGGAAACCCTGTGGAGAAGTCTACTGAGATGCAATAATGATACCCTATTCAGTCAGACACACCTCGTGCTCTCTGCTACATGAATGCAAAATGTCAGCTATTGGCACCACTTGTGTTTTCTAAGATTCACATATTTCACTTATTTTAAAATCAGTTACAATGAGAGACACAGAAAGAAAGAGAGAGAGAGGAAGAGAGAGATTCTCTGTCTGCTGGCCACAGTGGCCGCAGCTGAGCTGATCCAAACCAGGAGCCAGAAGCTTCCTCCAGATCTGTGCAGGTGCATATACCCAAGGCCTTCGGCCATCCTCCATTGCTTTCCCAGATGTGTTAGCAAGAAACTGGATTGGAAGTGGAGCAGCCATGACAGAAACCAACATTCATAGGGAATGCAAGTGCCACAAGTGGCGGGTCAGCCATGCTATGCCACCATACTGGCCCTAGTAGGCTTTTGAAACTGCAGCCTCTGCAGAAGTCTGGAGCTGCAACTTTTGTGAGGAAGCAGGCTCCAGCCCTGGCATTGCCTGCATTCTGTGGATTCTCAGGTTTGAAAACATTAGACTGATATAATCACTCTCTCAGCTAGTACTTTGTCATCCATGATTTAAATGCTTTTCCTGACTAGCAAGTCCTCCATAGCTGCGAACAAATGGCAGGTGGGAATCCTTGGAATTCGAAAGACAACTCCAATTTGGCTGACAAAAGATGACAAGGGCAATTCTCAATCAGTAAGGAGAATGTGCTCTGTACTTCATCTTTAATCTTAGGGAGGAGCAAGCAAGAATGGGAGAGAGAATCTGAAAGAAACTAAGTGTCCTTTCCTAAATGCCACCTGTGAAATTGTGTTGCAAGGCACATCTGCAGGAAGCTGGCTTGAAGCAGAGAAGCTGGGACTCGAACCTGCGCTCCGATTAGAGATGCTGCTATTGCTAGCAGCGGCTTAACCTGCTGCAACACAGCACCTACCTAGTCAGTTCATTTTTACGACCTCTGTAGGTAAATGATCAGCTATAGAAAGCATATTGAGGGTAGCAGATCATATGTTGATTGAGATGTCTGGGTTGGAGCCCTGGCTCTGGCTTCTGACTCCGGTGTCTTGCTAATGCAGCCTCTTTGAGGCAACAGTGAAGGCTTGACGATCTTTGGATTCTTGCCACTCATGCAGAGGACCCGACTAGAGTTCCTAGCTCCCCATTTCAGACTGGACCAATCCTGGCTATTGGGAACATTCAAAGAGTGAACCAGTGATGTGAGGAGTTGCATATATTCTCTGTCACTCTCAAACATGTTTTGAGAAATACCCCAAATCATTTACAATTAATTATGATTTTTTTTTCTCTTCCAGTAGTTATTCATCTTGGGTTTCATGCCTCATTGCACTCCTAAGTGTTTCAAAAGCAACAGGAAATAGTGTGGGTGATGTCAACCTTGTTATGCTCCTGACAATAGCAGGAATTTTCCATTGGTTTCATTTTCAAAACAACATGCCACAAATATCAACTGCCTGTTTCTGTGTGATAGTGACCCAGCAACTCCTTGCCTTGGAACTCGGTTCTAATGAGGGAAGTATGTTAATCACACAGTCATACACATTTACATGAAATTAAAAGGACGTGAAGCAACTACAAGAGTAAAGAAAGCGTATCCTGACCTAATTAAGAATCTTTTTATATTTAAAGATAGAAGATGAGGAATCAGCTAAGGTGAGTTTGGAGGGAGTGGACAGGGAGAATGTTCAGACTGAAGGGTGTGTGCACAGGCCCTGGATGGCAGGAGAGTATAGAGTACACACCAGGCCCAGTGGATAAACTGAGACTGCCAAGGAGGTTAGTGTGCAGTGCTGTTAGAAAGGACAGGAGCCTAGAAATCCAGGCCTCCCAGGCCAACATGGACCTGGGTCTTTATTCTAAGACCACGGGGAAGTCGGTCAAAGAGGGCGGTTAGATGCCCAAGCCTTTATCTACCACACAGAGGTTAGCTGCATGAGCATGGTAGAAAATGGACTATAAGGTGGGTAAGAACAGATGTAAGGGGAAAAACATGGAGAGCTATTGCATGGTCTGGGCAAGAGCTTGCAATGGAGCAGTGAAGACAATAGTTGTAGAAGACAGCACATGAGTGGAGTTGCTGGTTGGAAGGAAACGAAGCCTGTGGCTGGAGCATGCTGAGAGGGCTGAACTGGCAAGTCTGAGTGCTAGGCCTCTTTCCTGAGATGGTGACTGCAAACTGGAAACCTGGTACGGTGAAAGAATCATGAGTTCTGTTGTGGACATGGTAGTGTTTTAAGGTGTCTCTTAACTTGTAGACAGAGATACTAAGTAGGTAGTCAGATAGGTGAGTCTCCAGCAAAACGATGAAATCTGGGCTGGAAACTCACAGTTACAAGTTACCTGTGTGTGGAGGGAAGGGAGCAGGGGCCTTGGGTGAGAGGTTTCAACAGGAGAGCAACTTAGAGGAATAAGCAGGGTTTGAGATTGGGAAAAGCAACATGTATTGGCTGGAAGTGGACCTGAAGCCATAAGGACAGATCGACTCGGTGGGAGAGACATAGAGGTTATACCGTGATAGAAACCAAGGTTGGCCGTAAGCCACCCGGAGGTGAAGGAGTAAAGCCCTGCACCTGAATTGGATTTGGCAATGGGAAGCCACTGGTGACCTAAGGAAGTCATTTCAGTAGAGCAACAAAAATGGAAGCCAGATTTGTAAGGATGGTTCCAAGAGGGGCAGGTGACTAAAGTGGAGATGAATGGGACAGATCTGTTTTGTAGCAAATTGTGTCTGTGATTTTAAAAAAGGAGGAAATAATGATGATGGCCTCGGGCATTGAGGGAAAGCTGTGGATGTGGTGTTATTAACATCAGAGGGTCTGGGGCATGTTTAAAAGGCATGGAAGCTTTCAGAAGGAAAGAGGAAGACAAAGCAATGAATAGATTTTAATGGATTTACTAAGAAGATGAAAGCAGGTGGAACCCAAAGCACAGCTGTGAAAATGAGCCTTAACTAGTTGGAAAGACAGCTCCTGATTGTAACAAGGAGGGAAAAGACTAGAATGGATATGAGCATTGCAGGGTGGGAAAGGGGAAGTGTTATATGCTTACAGAAGGACTATTGTATCTGGCGGCTTCTGTTTGTGTATGGGTGCGTGAATATTTGTTCAGAGTGATTTTGGTCAGCAAATGAGCAGATATGTTAGTATTTGATCCTGCTACTGGTTGCAACATGGTAGTATTTTATTTGGTGTGTATGTGGCTACTTGAAAAGTTGATTTAAATTTGAATGAAAGGGTACGTTTATTCTGTTTCCTAGATGAGAAACTATGTGTAGGTTTGGTTTTGTTTTTTTCTTTTCCCCCGACATACATCCTCCCTAAACTTTTGGGAGATGACCTTCTGTGCAGGTGGAGTAGCTGCTATAGGGGCAAGGGGGGCTGGTTGTCATCCTCTATGTGCACAAGAATATCCTCCTGCAAAGACTATGAATGAAAGTGGAATTGGCTCACTGGAGGTTCTTTTTAGCTGGCTCCCTGTGGAGATGTGTTCCCGACACGGTACATTGGCCAGCACTGACCGATTTGAATCCTGGCCTCTGAATCCTGGCAGGTCTTGGGGTGAAGTTTGTTCCAACTATTCTTGATGCCGTCGGTCACCTCCTGTGTGACTCAAGTGATGTGGATGATGCTTGCTAAGGCCAAATGGCTTTCGAGAATTCTTAATCTCTACTGGCTGACTCCTCACCAAAATCCAAAAGGCAAACAAACAAATTGTGCCTGTTGGGTGATCCTGTACTGTGCATTTTGCTGGGTCCATCATGTGTAATGCTGGGGGGTTTACAGTGATACCCCTCCCTTTCATATGGTTTAATCAGCAGGGAGAAGAAATATGAAGTATTCTTTTCACTTTGGTCTCTGTGTGTTTGTGTAGTATCTGACATGCAGAACTAACGGAGATGCTCGTTTGCCAATAACACAAACATAACTCAAGCTAGACCAAACCAACCAAAGGGAATGTGACCAGCCAGCCACCGGCTCTGCTTTCCGTCTCAGTGTTTGCGCTGTACGCTTTGTTTCTCGATGAAGACTGAGTGCATACGCACGCGTGTGCAGACACACATACACACACATAGTCTGTATCACCACAATGCAGATCCACAATTCACGGCGTGTGTTAACAGTGGTCATGTAAGATGGTAGCCTGTAGTGGCATTACAGGTGTCCTGCTTGTGTAAGGAAGGACACACTAATGTTCACAGCAAGAATGAACTCACTTAACAACACTTTCTTGTAACCTGTCTCCCTTTTCATTGTATTATTTAAAACCATAGATACAGGTGGATAAATAGATACGATTTTCTTAAAGATTTATTTTTATTGGAAAGACAGATATACAGAGAGGAGGAGAGGCAGAGAGGAAGATCTTCCATCCGATGATTCACTCCCCAAGTGACCGCATGGCTGGAGCTGAGCCGATCCAAAACCAGGAGCCAGGAGCCTCTTCTGGGTCTCCCATGCGGGTGCAGGGTCCCAAGGCTTTGGGCCGTCCTCAACTGCTTTCCCAGGCCACAGCAGGGAGCTAGATGAAAGTGGGGCTGCCTGGATTAGAATCAGCACCCATATGGGATCCAGGTACATTCAAGGTGAGGACTTTAACTGCTATATTATTTAAAATGGCCCTTCTATAATACCACAAACATCAAATGCCAAGAATGTTGCTCCACAGGGATTAGGATAAGTACTCAGATTTCACATTTGCTTTCTTTTATATAGTTCCCATACATTGTTACAATCATGAGCTGAATTTTGTGACACGAAAGACGAGTCAAACTTGATTTTTTAATAATTATTCTTACTACTTTTTTAACGTCTGAATTTGAAGACAGATGTTTTTTTTCAAGCCTCTTGGGGCAACAGAGGTAGAAGTTCCATTGTTGGACCTGCTTCTAGGGCGGGAGATATTTTGTGGTCGTCTTTGTAGAATATCTTCTCCCTCAGAAAATACCCCAGGTCATCCCAGTGAACTTTCATTCTTTTCAGAGAACTTGCTGTACAACAGAAAAATGTGGCATGAGTGTTGCACAATTGCATCCAAATGGCAAAGAATAGCACTTCAAGCCTCTCACCCCCCTACCGGATCTTCAGAAAATCTTCCAAAAATAATCTCTGAGTATGTTTCCTAAAGAGTTTTTTTTTTTACTACAAATCATAATCTATTGAAAAGATCCCTGGATCTTTTCTCAGCTTTTATAAAAAAGAGAATGAAACCTACTAGAAAGCGAACATTCCTACTCTTATTGGGCTTATTATGGAAATATTGACATGTGAAAACAGGCCTGAAGAAGCCCATAGAAGACACTGGCTGAGTTAAGACAGAACCCGGCTCTGGCAAGGAACATCCCATTGCAACCGAAGCCTGCAGGGGGAAATATATTAGAAAGAGCTGAATATCACAAGTATATAATTTCTCAGTAATTTGGGCCAATTTTGACCAATCCCGAAAAATCCTATAAAATGGATGAATTGAAACAAGGCATTTGGCAAAAGAACCGCAACCTTGTATCACAGTGGAACACACATTCTTGCATGAAGCTGAATACATTTTGCACATTTTATAGTGCAGTCAATTTTATTTGATGTTTTTATTTGATTTTTTTCATAAAAATATGATCTGCACTTTTTTTTCTACTCTGACTTCTGCAATAACTCTTTCTCTAGTTCGACAGACTGGTGGTAGCGATTGAGAGAATGGGTTTTGGGTTCAGACAAACCTTGTCTGCATTCCAAGGACCAGGGTGCTTGTGAAAGTTCATGTTTGGTCCAGGCCTCTGCAATTGGGCAACTGGCTGAATGGGTTGCCTTGTGGTATCCCAAGGGTATCTGGAAAAGGAAAAGACCACTCTACGTTGGGAGAAAATAATTTTAACTTTTATTTTTGATTATACCACTTATTGCTGCTAGCCTTTCTCTTACTGTTTCCTAATTACGAGATCAACAAAGTGGAGATAGTAAAACCATTTTTTGAACCTCACCAGACTGTGGTGGGCTCCCCTCATGCACTGGAAATCTGTGTGCACACCTTTCAGTATCACTTTGATAGCCATAGAGATATTCTATAATAATAGCGAGCAGAAAGTCAAGACCACAAGTAACATTTAAGAGTTATGTATCGGATTTAACACATGTGCAGTGATACGGGAAAACTGCTTTAGTAACTGATAGTGAAATTCCCCTAAGGGCAGTAATTTCACATGTTAGGGAGAAGCAAGGGGAACCCCTCAAGGATTCTGTTAGGGCAAGTCCCAGCTCCAAGCTCCTTGGGAAGGCAGTAAGTCCTAGGGTAGGTGGGGAAATCAAGTGTGCCCCCACATATTTCAAAATGAGCAGACTTGGGTGAATGGGAGTTTGAGAGTGAATTTGAAAGATAAGTGGCTGTCCAAACCTGGGGAGAGTTTGAATGATGCCAAGCTGCTCGTTCCCAGGTGCCCCCTGATGTGTACTAACAGCCCCACAACAGAACCGGAAGAACTGACACTTGGCTCTCTCATGTTCCACAGTCTGTCATTGCATTTTCTCCTCTCTCTCCACCCTGCAGGCCGTCAGGAAGCCATAGCTGTGTGTGTACACATGCAGACCCAGCAGGCAGTCAATGACAGCTTGTGCGATGTGGTCCATCGTCCCCCGGCCATGAGCCAGGCCTGTAACACGGAGCCCTGCCCGCCCAGGTATGTGCTGTCTCAGGCTCGCAGAATCTGTTTCTAGATGTAACACTCTTCCTCCAGAGAAACCCACCTGTGCATAGAGACACACTGGCTCGCCCCAGGCAGGGCAGCCAAGCCTCTCAGAGTTCTCTCTCTTCTCTGCTCACTTGTGCCTGAGGCAGGTTCTTATGTAGATATGCATATATGCCCTATAGCCTGGCATGCTTATGTCAGACACCAGTGGGCATCAGCCAGCCTGCTACTGGCCACATCACCAGGTCAGCAAGCTTGTTCTTTTTCCTAATGTCTTCTCAAAGACATTTCTTCTCTTACGGTCCCAACAGATCAGAGGTAGCATTAGTACTGGTACCCAGTGGATGCTTAATCCACATCTGTTCAGTGACTGCACAACTTCTGCTCGGAACCTAGAACTCACGTGGATGTGTTACCCTCTTTTCCCAGTGACTTGCCTTGGTGTGTGTGTTGGTGGGGAGGGAGAGGAGGGCATTGGGTGGGTAGAAATGGGTGTGTGTGTGTGTTGTTGCGGTGACTTTAGTGTCCTTGGTGTGAAATGGTCACCTTGAAAGTGAATCTGCTTCCTTGCCTCAATCTTTTAATTCTTTAATGTACCATTGGCTAAAGAGGATCCTAACTCTTTGATTTCTCACATGCATCCTTCCATATCTATTCTCCAATCTGTTTCTCTCTCTCTCTCACCTCCTGATTACTCTTCTGCAATAAGAATTGGCTGCCAAAGGTATAGCGTCCATTCCCAGTGACTTCCCTCATCTCCAGTGTCTTGCCTCCTCTTAGTAAACATGTTGCTCATCCAATAAGGCACTGTCACCTGCTGGGGACATGTTTTGTGCTAACTGGGAGAGTGAATGGTCAGCCAAGGTCTTGCATCCTCCTTTGCTCAGGGCTAAGGATAAATGCATCATGCTGCAGGAGCCTTCTTGGACTGCTTTGGAGTCTGTGAAGTCTTGATGATGATAGAGAGAACTTCCTTGCCCTAACACCAGAGACAGTAGTGAGGATGCAGATCAGAACAGGAGGCCATCCTGGTCATCAGACCCTTCACAGGCTGGAGATGGAGACCCTTCCTTTGTGTGACCTTTCCCCCTTAAGGGGGAGCCCATCTCTGTTGCATGCCCCATGCTGGGTGAGACCACACCACAGTGACTGGGTACCATGTGGTGCACCTCTCAGTTTGTTCCCCAGCCTCATTGCTGTGCTTAGCTGAGGTGCTGCAGTAAAGGCCTGTAGACTTCTTGGCCGGTGATGCAAGACCCAGACATAGCAGAGGGAGGCCTGCCTCCACCCAGCTTGTTGCATTCCAGGATAGCCCACTCTGGAATGATGTTAAATGAAGAATCTTAAGGAAGATTTTGGTGTAGCTAGGGGTCAGGACATCCACCATGCAAAGTGTAGCCACAGCTTTCCAAGAACATCAGGTAGACACTTTATCTGCACGTGTTCTGCCTTGGTTGACTCATATTAAAATGGGTTGAAAATACTGATGGAAAAAGTTGTATCCATATTGGACAAACACACATTTTCCCTTGTCATTATTTCCCAAACAGTACAGTGAAACACTTAGTTGCACAGCACAGTGAGTGACCCAGAAAACTTTGGGAATCTTGGAAGCAATCCCTGGTCATTGCCAAGGAGCAACTATGCATGTGGATGGGAGAATGTTGACAATATAGTCACTTGGAACCGACTCGTTTTTAACAGACATACTAATTTATTTGTAAGTCAAAGAGGGAGACAGGGGATAGAAAAGTGAGAGGAAGAGGAAGCAATCTTCCATCTGCTGGTTTACTCCCCAAATGGCCACAACAGCCAGAGCTGGGTAATGCCAAAGCCAGGAGCCAGGGACTCCCTCCTGGTCTTCCACAGGGTGCAAGGATTTAAGCACTTTGGCCATTTTCAGCTGCATCCTAAGGCTCATTAGCAGGGTGCTGGGTTGGTAGTGGAGTAGCCGGGACTCAGATGCAACATTTCCTGTATGGAATGCCAGCATCATATGCAGTGGCTAAACATGCTGTGCTGTAGTGCCAGCCTCAGAACAACATTTTTATCTTTAGGTAAATGGTGCTTGTGCTAAGGGTATGAACCTTAGTCATCCAACTACTTATCTGGGTGTCTCCATTCTTACTGATTTAGAGTTGGAGCCTCTGACGTAGATGTTTTTGGAAAAGCTAAGAGTCTGCCTCTCTCCCCTGCCACCTCCCTCCATGGGGTAAAAACAAGGGAACTAGTTGGGAGGGTATCTGAGAAGACACAAGGGGAGACCAGGGGGCGAGGAAATGTTTTTTTGTCTCTCAACATCTTTTCCCATGGCACTGATTATCACAGCCGAACCTTGGAAGGAGGCAAAAGTCAGAAGTTGAATCAAGAGAAGCCTAAATAAATATACCACTTCCCCTAAATAATGTAAAGGAAAAAGTAGAATATAGGGCTTGAGAGCAAGAATGATATGGGGTCCCAGGAGAGGTCAGAGGGGTGGTGTGGCAATCTGCTTATGTAGTCAGGGAGAAGGTTTGTAGGTTGAAACCCTAAGGGTGGGTGACCATTGGCTGGGAGAGGAGCAGAAGAAAAAGGGTGAGGCGAGAGTCTGTACAAAGGCCCAAAGCAGAGAGAAAAAGGTGTGCTCCAGAAACTGGACAGAAAGGAAAGCTGTGTAATTGTGGATGGGCTCAGACATGGGCAGTGGCTATAGTGAGTCCTTGGACTTGACCCTGAGTGGCCCTGGGAACCAGGGGAAAGTTTGAGGCCTAAAGTGATCCATCAGATTCATGTTTCAGAACCATTTCTCAGGTCCTGCAATGGGGGAAACCATGGGTAGAGGTATTGAGATCCATTACACATTCTTTAAAATTGGAAGACTGTAGGGACAGGTGTGTGGCAAAGCAGTGAAGGCACTGCTCAAGACACACACATTCCACATTCAGGTGCCTGGATTTGAGCCCCAGCTCTGCTTGTGATCATAAGTTTCTGCTAAAGTATATCCTGGGGAGCAACGGCTCAGGTTGCTGGGATCTTTTCACACAATAAGAGACCTGAATTGAGCTGCTGGCTCTCTTTCTCCCTCTTCCCTCTCTAACAAATACATTTTAAAAAGATTGAACTACTTTAAACTGGGTACACAGCCCCATTTCACTTCAGCATCCTCAGCTTTTCCTTGCCTATATGTAAATCTATGGGTCTTGCCGTTCCCTTTTTATTCTTTCATTAACATAGTGGAACGTGAAGTGAGTCTTTAGTAGTGAAGACACCTGTGTGCCCCATCAGCGTGTCTGGCTTCAGTGCCTGGCTTCAGTGCGCTGGCTCCCTGCTAATGCAATCCCTGGGAGGCAGCAGCGATGGCTGAGGTGACTAAGTTCTGAGGTGGCTGAAGTTCTGAACTCCTGACTCCCAGCTGGCAGGAATTACAGGCACCAGAGAGCAAACCAGCAGATCCAAGCTCTTCCTGTCCCTCTGTGTCTCTTGGTCCATTTACCTCTCCAACAAGAAAAACCTAGGTGAACCCCTTCCTGTGTTTGTAGCCACTGACATCGCTGCATCCGTGCTCTGTTCTCTAGACCTGCTCAGAGCATCCTTCCACAATTCCCATCGTGCTCTCCTGTGCTCTAGGCTTTTGAAGATAGGTTTTAAGGCTTTGACAGTCTGTGACTTATCCGCGCTCTCGTGACTCCTCAGTGACTGATGTCTGTGTAATATCAGTTGTTCTCGCTGTGCAAAAGTGGGAGCACCACCACCCTAAGTGGTTTCTGCTCAGCGAAAAGGGGATCCCATCCTTCTTGCTAGTGGCCTCACATTCCTTCAGAAATAGAGGAATGAGTTTCTAGCAAATCAGTATGTTTGTTTTCTGCATAGAGAAACTGGACTTAGGGTAGTTGTTGACTTGCACAAGCACATGTGATAAATATATGAAGGTGTTTCAAAAAGAGTTATGAAAAAATTGAATTAAAACATAAATTTATTGTTATTTTTTAAAAAAATTCTGAAATCCATGTACAGCTATTTTGTTTCATAATACGTATTTCCAGTTAGCTTTATGCAAACCCTATGTATACCATGGAGTGAAAGCTTAAACTTTGAGTGTTTCTCATCTGAGGCATCTGTCTGGACCAAGCTTGCTTGTTGGCCTTGCCCAGGTGATAGAATGGAAGCTTCAGGAGGCCTCACAGTGCATGGCCCGCAAAGTTGGTCTCTTGGCCTCCAGTCCCTTCTCAGTCCAGAGTGACCAGTGCTCTCTTTCTGCAAAAATGACAGGGTATGCCATTCGCACAGGTTTAAAACGCTCACTATCATTTAGTTACCCTTGAAATTCTCATAGCCACCAATGAGGAAGAGTAGAGAGAACGCTCACCCCAACAGGTGCAGGTTTCTAGATTCACATCTTACCCTGGGTTTACATGCAACTGGTCTCCCCGGAGCTCTGTGCTCTGTTTCTTGCCCCCAAAGCACTGACAAGTGAGAACATAGGGCAGACCAGATGACAACTGAAACAAAGAGAATAAAAAGGATGACAATGTGAAGGGCCCTTCAAATGGGGATGCCTTTCCTATCAGGATTAGAGGAAGCTCCTGGAACATGGAGCCAGTGTTACCTGTCCATTCATGGTGCTGCCGTGCTCTTGCCCTGAAAATAAATACAGCCAGCGACTGTTCTCAGCAAGTGTGTACCAGAATACACAGTAACTCACAACTTACTCTCTGCTCATCCCAGGAGTTACTGCACGTGGTCTTACCATTACAACTGTAATTAAGTTGTAAGATACCTGTTTATATTTTGTAATTGACTTTCTCAAGACCAAGTCCAAATCATTTACCTCCTCAACCCTCCCTCCACTACACACACACTATCAGGAAATTTGTGTTCATACTAAAAGAATGAACTCACCCCAGACAACTATCTTTTCTGGTTTCATTTCTTGGATGACAGGCACATCACCTGTTAAACAGTCTACTTCCCCATTCTTCCTGCATCAGCCTCAGGGTCACTACTTTTCTCGT